AACTCAATTGGAGGATTTAGAAAAATCAATCAAATATCATTATTCTTTCCATAAGATGCCAAATTGTATTTTGGTGACCTCTGCTATCATTTAAATGACCTGAAGTCAGGATGAGCTTTTGTAGCACAGAATTGGAGTAAGTTTGCTCTGTTGTTGCTCTCCTTAGATCTTGTAAATCCTTTTTATTCCTTTTTCATTTGTATGTGTCTTTGAGTTGCAGCTTCTTATGCTTTTATAAGCTATATAGCATAGGGTGGCTTTTTGGCTTGCTCAGTTTCAAGAAATGATGAAAATGAAGTTATATTCCTTAAACCCCCCCAATAGATCACTTTTACAATGTGTTTGCATTTCAGGAGTTTTAAAGTTTGATCTCCATGTTTATTCAACCTTAAACATACCTAGCTCCCCATTGTACTTATTTGCCAATTACTTTACAGCACTTTTCATACTTTTTGTTTTAAATCTGTGGGGTTGTTTTTGTCTTGTTGCATTTTTCCTCTCCTTGAAGTTATATCTATTATTCAAATATAAAAGTGACTTAGGAAAGAACATCCTAAAGTTTATTTAGAAATTCACCAAGCCACATACTAATGCATCTCTAATGGGGACATTTCTTTCCACACCTCTAAGGTGATTGAGCCTGTCCTTTAAAGTGAGATTTGTAAACCAGTGTCTGGCAGCTCCAATTAGCTTCTTTTGGGTTTGAAGCACATCACAAACAGTAACAAGGTCTCCTAGGACACTCCTCTTGCAAGCAATGTAGTCATATTTCCTCATTAGTTCTTTTCAATTGTCACTAATGCCATGTTCTAGCTTTTGAGTAGGAGACAAAAAACATAAAAATTTGGTATGTATGTAGAATGGGCCATTGTTTTCCATAATTCAAGGCTCTTTTGAATTCCTTTGATAGTTTTGAAGCTTACACAGCTTAATTCATTAACCTTTACCCTTCACATAAATCAGGTGATTAGGAATCTATTGCTAAGGAGACAGATTTTCCCTCCACTGAAACTAAGTAAATGCTTTTTCTTCTGAAAAAAAAAAAAATCCTCTATAGCTGACAAAAGTAACCTTTTTGTTGCTTTTCGAATTTCATCAGATGTTTCAGGTGCATTTTAAAACATTATCAAAAGCAAGTGAGCATAACATTGCATTATTATAAATAATAATTCTGGATGCTTTGGATACTTTGGAGCAGGTTTACTGTCACATTTTGGAATTCTAAAAGAGTTTATATGTATATATGTATGTATACACACACACATATGTACTCAACAGCTGTTACTCAAGAATTTACAGTGGTTGCAAATTTTAAATCTTTTTTCAGAACCCTGCCAAAGCATAAAAGAAGAAAATAATTTGAGGGGAGGCAATTCAGAAGAAACTAAAATATATTGATCCTAGAACATTTGATTTGGATAAATTGTTCATATAGGCCCTCATGTTTATAGAGAATGGTAATACGGGCTTTCAAAGGAGCTAGGTGGTTCTGTGGGTCCATAGACGTGAGAATAGGGTATATTTCGCCAGATTTTTTATTTCTTCTTGTTAAGATATGTCTCACTTTATTTCTCAGAATTTAGGGAAAAGTTTAGCAGACTTATGTTGGATATTTTTTTAATTTGATAATCTGAAGTTTTCCTTTATGCCATTTTCTCATTGTTAATTTCTCCTTAATAATCTTATAGATTGTTTCTTTCCCTAAGGATATAGTTCTTTTTCCAAGTTTTGTAATTCTTTATGTTGTTATGCATTAAGTGAGAAAGCTTTGAATGTACTGACCCATAGAGAATGTCAGTCATACGATATTCTGAGGTTTGTCTTTAGGGATGGTGGGGACAAGCGTGGGGTGAAGAATGGGTAAAAATTGAATTCTAGATTCTGAGTTTAGGGACTCATGGCTTGTCCCTCAGGACAAAACTATAATTTATCACTGAAATTAATGGATATCCTCCTATGCATTATCTGTGAATAGGAGAGGGGATGGAGAAACAAATGTTTTAAATGTGGTCCTTGTTTCTCTCGCTCTCCTTAAAGATTATCACTTTACAAACATTTCTTTTTTATTGCTACCATTTAAAAACTGACCCTTAAAAAATTATATAAGTACCTGTAGTCAAAAGTTTCAATAACTGCTACGTTTTACCACCTTGTTTGTTGCCTACATAGTGCTATACAGTGAACTGGGAAATGCTGTAATGTTAATACACTAAAGGTCAGACTAGAGCCAAGACTCGAAACAGAGAATTATTTAGAGTAAATGTGGTCCACAGACTATAGTGTTATGCTCACATACTTCCTGTAAATACATACTGTAATGGACTCTAAAAGTTTCAGGAGGAAAGGACAGTCACCATGCAGGTGTCTGTCTCATCATGACCTGCTGTCACTGCAGGCTGCCTAGGAAACTAGACCTGGACTAATCCCTGGATTTCAGGCACTAGCCAGTTGATGTGGGGTTCCATTTCCATCAATTTGCAGTAACAAGACAATACAAACCATTTCCACTTTCAACTCTCAAAAGAACAGGTATTTTAGCTACTTATTTGAAACACTCAATTTTGCGTAATATCGTGTTAAGAGTTTCAGCCTACATTCACAGAACTTGGGGTTCCTTGCTTCAAATATCACACCTTGGAATGATGTGATATTTACATTAAAAAAATTAAGTTTTGCCACACATCTTCCAAGGAATGTTTTTTTTTTTTTCTCTCCATGAGTTTTTATTCAAGGAGTACCTCTGTGTTGTGTGTAACTTCTAGTACACTGGCTGTGATTACAGGGTAATTAAAAGTGTTTGGAAAACCTCATGCAGCTGAACTTTTAAAAACAACAAAAATCCTAGGTGATACTTTGTAAAAGCAAAGTGCTTTTCTCTTATATTTCTTTTCTCCTTTTCTGTCTAAAAGATATTTACTGCTTTCTTGTTAATCATGTGTTATCTCTTGGCTGTCGCCTCTTGAATAAGCTAAATGTACTTGCCATATCTATTCATGATAACTTTCCTCTGACACGCAGTGGAGAAACCTGATGCTCATGGCCTTTCATCAGTTTTTCAAGAGTTTTCATCCAGTGATTGATTATCTTATTTTATATGAATACTGGTTCTTGTTGCCTATGAAATAGCATTTGATCTGGCTTATACAGTGAAATCAATTTGTGTTATTTGCTCTTTGTAGTTTGCTCTGTGTGTCTTTAATGTTCCTATGTGCTTGTGGCATATCTTATAAAGAATCAAGTGACAGGAACACAGATAGGATATTGCATCTGGTTAGAGTTTTTTCACAATCAAATGTAAAATCAGGCATTTTGGACTATTTGGAAAGAGCACGAGAATAAAATAAATGACACAAACATTATTTCTGTACTAATTTATTTTATTTTGTAGTAGTCATACAGAATACTGCATCTGTTAAACTTTTTTGGTAGGTGCTAGAGGAGGACGATGAAACGTACCTTTGCATGAGAGAAGGTAGTCATTTCTTTTAATTTAAGGGTTTTGTAATCATCTAGGGTCTTTATTTTTATCCTTCGCGTGTGAAAATTCATTTTTAAAGTTGTAAATAAAACATAGTTGTTGCCTGTAATGTTTCATCTCCTTTTGCCCTTCCTTTTTTATGAGTTTATTCAAATATTACATTAAAGCCAAATGACATGGAATTAGATTTAAAATTTTCCCTTCATAATAAGCTCTATCAATGGTAATTGCATTGTATTGCTGTTTTAAGTTTTCTGTTGTAGCCATGGAATAACTTCTCTGTTTTTGTCATAAATCGTTTTTTAAAAAAAGCCAAAAACAATGTTTATTCATTTATTCTGAGCAACTTTGAAATGTTTATCATTTCATTAAAACAATATTCTATAAAAATATCTTAAAGGAAAAAGTATGTCTTCTTTATAACTAATTTAACCTTCAGTAATGAATTATGTGAAGTAAAATCATATAAATTTTTCTGACATTTTATGAAGATTCCTACAAATAAGCCAGACAGCAAATAAAATATCTGCAAGGCAGAGATGGATACTCAGTAATTTTTTGATGGATTATACACACAGGTATCAAATTACTTGATCCTTACTTCCTAGAAAAGGTTAATGACTCTTTTTGCTTTTACCCTTTTACTTAACCGTTATTTATAAAGATTAAAACAGCGACTACATTGAAGGATGCATATTCCTACATTTCAGTATGACTGTACAGGTTTTTCTGATATTATGGGAGACTGAGCCACAAAACGGACGGCGTTGTTAATCATTATTTTTAAAGTTCATTCAGTTCTTTACCACATGTTCCGCTATAGCTATTAGAGCTGAGTGCACCATTCAAAAACCTTTTAACTTAAATGAGACCAGAGAAGACTTTAAATCTTACATATCTTTATATTACATATCTATCTATATTATTATATCTATGCAATAATTCACTTAAAATATTAAGAATTAAACATTTTAAAGTAATAGATTTTAAGGTTCTTATGTGTTCAGATTTTTCTTTCATCTATAATTAATGTTATAGATTTTAAAAATATTTCTGATTTTTGTGGAATAAAGCACACAAAAATGTATATTTTAGTGTTATCAAACTCCATCATTAATAATTGAACCAAGAGCCCATCCATCTATATTCTAGTTTCATTATAATTGTTATATATTATTTTATTATGTAAATGACATGTTCTTTATATAGCCTGTGTTTACTAATCTGTTACTAAATGTGACATTACTTTTACAGAACCGTCTCTTTTTCATCACTTTGTTTTTAAAATATACACTAGTCATAAATGTATTTAATCAAAGTCATTTAGGTATTACTACACTTGAGTTTAAAGCAGAGAATATAACACTTTTTCCTGACACACTTGAAAGAAGTTTGTTGAGAGAAGAGAGCTGTGGCATTCATCAAATGCTGACCTCTTCCTGTTACAGTCATGGCCAGACTCTTGCTAATTTAACTTGAAACGCATTAGTGTAACTCACCACTTTCTATGTGTGTGTTTCAGGTGTGTGGAGGTCATTGCAAAGGAAGGACAAAACCTGAAAGAGCTGTATTTGGTGTCCTGTAAAATCACAGATTATGGTATGTAATGAGTCCTTGTCCTATTCCTTTTTCTAGAATTAAAAAGTTACAAAATCTTTGAAAACTTTTTAAAAGAAATCAAGAGCTACTATCTCATAGAGACTGCTCATCTTATGATGTCTGATGATACCAAAGTAAATTAAGAAATCATGAGACGAGGGCCCAGAGTAAAATGAACATGCAGTGTCAATTTTTCACCACATGCAATCACACACTATGTGCATATGCACACATACACACTCACATTGGATTAAAAAGTATGTCTAAAAAAGCTGTCCAGTGAAAATAAGCACGAGCATAATTTAATATTTGATATAATAATAAGTATAACTAAAAAAGTTATTACTTGAGTTAATATGCTTAATTTAATGTCATGTCAAATACATTCCCTGCTGACACCCCAAATGGCACGCTACTTAATGCTTTAAATTTCTTAAAGCATTGGAAACTTCCACACGTAGATATGTAAAAAGTAAAGGGTATACATTTGGATGCAAGATTTTAAATTACATTAATTTTCAATATCTTTCTAAAGTGGAGAAGAGCAAGTTGTTTTAGAAAAAAAATGAAAAGTACGAAATCATCTCATTGGAGTAATAAAAGAGTAACCTAGCCTTTTCTTTTTTGTTCACATTTATATATTTTTTCTTATTAATTTGTATATTTAATCTAAATATAGAGTTTTAAGCAGATATTTGGCATTATGGGAGACTGAAATGGTTTTCTTTCCTCTTTTCTGATTTTTTAATTTGTTCATTTAAATTTGAGAATATGCTTTCTACCTTGAGGGAAACTAATAATTCATCAAGTTTTTTTATTGTTAACTCTGACATATGCTAATAAATGACTCCAATCCTAGGATGTCATGCTGACCATCTGTCCTGGGTTGGAGAGTTGTATTTTATCGGCTACTAAATTCAGCCTTTAGAAAAATTCTATGCAGCTATAATAAAAAATAACATAAAACAAGATTTGGCTTAAAATAATGCTAATTTCTTTCCAGAGTTTGTTTTTTATAATGGTAAATGAGCCTTATGTTGATTTATTCATAATGTTTTTGGGTTGTTGGTTTTTGTTTTGTTTTATTTTTCTTATACCAGGCAAAAGGAGTGTTTTGATAGGTTTTTCTTTTCTTATAGTTTGTTTTCTGGTTTGGCATATTACATTGCCCCTTAGATACAGTAATTCTAAAACCTTCAATATCTCCCTATTGTCTAGGCCTTAGAGAGTTCTCTCTGTCCAACCCAGGGCATATACTCAATACCTATGGACTTGTTAATCAGCTAATATATTCATTCATTCCAAACTCTTTACTTAGCATTCAAGCTCCTTTACTCTTAGTCTCCTGCCTGCCCCTCCAATCTAATTTTATATATTTCTCTCCTTTACCTATTCAGTGCCAATGTCAGATTGCTAATTGCCACTAGAGCTATGGATTAAGTTCCTTAGAATGAACTCTTCAAGGTCCTACAGTGGAAAATATTGCTAAAATGACACTCTGTCCCAGCACCTAAGTTAGCAAGTGCAAAGAAATGATTCAGAAGATACAGAGAGGAGAAAAATCTTTGGACTTGAGACTTGATCAAGTTCAAGCTTTGTTCTTTATCTGTTCTTTGGCCATAGAGAAGTTCCTTCACATCTCTGAGGCTCAGTGTCCTCATTTTTAAAAATGGGGAATTCATGTCTGATTCATATTTATGTACCTGGTACCAGGTCTAATGATTAGCATTGAAAAATGTTGATTTCCTATATAGGAGGTGGAGAGGGAAAATTTTTTATACAAAATTCTTCTACCCTTTTTCCTTTCCTGGGTTTTGGAAGAGGTTTTTATTGTTAGTGTTGCTGTTGTCTGTGGTTATTATTTATTGCTATTGTTTATTGAAATTATCATGTTTTGGTGTTTAGAAATTTTAGAATTTTTTTCTTCCAGTGAGGTGAAAACTATGTTAAAACCTTGCCAATATGATTTACATTTATTCATATCTCTGAATTATTTGAGTCGGTGGATTTCTGCACATTAGGATCACCTGGGGAATTTCTAAAGCATACTGATTCCTGAGTCTTATTCAGGAGTAATTAAATCAGAATTTCTGTGAGGTGGGGCCCAGGCAAAGGTTTTATAAAACCTTCGTAAATGATGTTATATCAGCCAAAGTTGAGAACAACTGATCCAGTCCATCTGAAAGCACCAGAGATGGACATTTAGGGGACTTCCTTGCCATGTTGATGAGAAATCTGTCACAATATTTCCAGTATCTTAGTTCCTTCAGCGTTAAGCTCTCTGTCTCACTTCATCTCTCTTCCATCTTTCCTGAGGTTTTAGGTATTCAAAGGGTTCATGGTGAAAGTCAGTGTTCATCTATGGATTCTGTTCTTCAAAATGTTGGGGCACAATTGAGGAGGAGGGGTAAAGGTCGATAGTTTATGCGATTGTACTATAATTGCTATTTGATTATAAAATTAAAACAAATCATTGAAAGTTCAGATCCGTTCATCTCTTTTTCCCTGGTAACATGCTGATAACACATGAATAATTTTTGTCAGAAAGACAGCAAAAGGATTATCCTTTGTTAACCAGAGAAGCAGTGTGTTATTGGAGGTAAGTGCTCTGCTGGGGGAGGCTGGCTGTGATCCTTTGCTCTGTGTTAATTATAAATTTTGGGATGGAAAAACAGATGCCTATTTTCTTCTTTAGCTGGATAAGTAGAGATATATTCCATAGAACTTTTAGATTATTAAGGCTACTTAAAATTGTGAAATTTGATGCACACCTGATACTGGGGGAGTTTTATCCTTTAAGAGACTCCTCCATAATTCTGCTTCCTATGGCTTTACTCATATTCGAGCTAGTTAGTCTCATCCTCATCTCCTCCCTCTGTGATGCTGTGTTTGTACATGCTTTCATTATAGTATCCCAAGATTTTTGAAGTTTTTTGCAGAATGCATTGATTCAGAAACAGCAGCCCGCCTGGCGTATCATTTGTAATTTTTGTCAAGATTCTCACAGATGTTGAATGCGGTATTATAGTACTTAGCAACACCTGGCCAGGCTGTTATGAAGTTATGTTCATTTTAATTGATGTATGATATAGTCGTCATGAAGAAAACTATCATTCTAATAGGCTTCTTATTCCCATATTGAACATAGATCTTTATGGTAAAGGATGGCAATTATAAACAAATCAATAATTCAGGCACAGCTAAATGGAAAATATAGTCTTGGGAAATTGCTCCCTGAAGAGAAATCTAATATCGTCACTCTTCTTTCCCTGAACAAATAAATGTTATGTAGGCAGTATCGTGGGGGGAAAAAACCCTCAAACTTAGGAGTCAGAGAGTTAGGTTAGAATCCAGCTTTGCTTCTACTTTTCTTTATGACCTTGAGCAAGTTACTTAACCTCCTAGTTTTGTCATCTATTAAGCACATAATAAAATGTACCATAAAAGGTAGCGAATATGAATATAAAACATCTGCGTTGTACCTAGTGGCATAAGTGGGTATTCATTCATTAGCAGTTCTTAAAATAATAGAATCATCTCTTTCTCTGAAGAAGAATCGGCTCTCCTCCTCCTCCTCCTCTTCCTCCTAGTGTGGCTTTCCTGTCTGTGGGAATCATGATCTAGAAGTTTGACCTGTACTTGCCTCATTGACTTACATACCTAAGCTATGTCAACCACATTCTTATTAGTAGGGAATAAAGGAGAGATGCAGCAGAAAGTTCAAAATCTTTCATTTGCCTCCCTAGTTTTTTCCTCATCTCTTCTTCATTTTTGTTGGGATAATTTTCTCCTGGCTCCCCTTATGCTTTCTTTTGTTCCTCTAAGAATTTGTCAGCTGATAGTTTTTAACCTACTTTCTGCTTACCTTCAAACGCTTTTCTGTTCAATGTTCTCTGGAAAATTGTATCCCTGGGATTAAAAGGAATACAAGGAGTAGAAAGTCATGTGTATCCTTCAAGCCTGTGGGCATCAGAGCCAGTCTGTCTTGGACCGCATGGCACAGAGCATGTGGCGGGATGAATGGGATGGATGAATAAAGCACTTACCTCCCCTAGCGTTTCCATAGTGAGTTTTACCAGTGTGGCCCTATGTCAGGGAGCAGTTGTAAAAAGGGCCCTGTTTTCTTTCTGGGTTGTTATCACATTTCCTTTGACCTTAGCACTCCTAAGGGCCCTAGAAATACACTCTAGAGGATATCTTTTTGCTTTCCCTCTCAAGTTGTCAAATAACCTTTAATTAAAGAGGACTGTAAACACTTAACTCTGACATCGATATTTGGGGCCTACAAGGTCACTGACAACCCACAGGGCCATTCTGTGCTGTTCCACAGGCTCCTCTGTCTCTCCCACAGGCCCTGGGGCTACTCTTTCAGCACAGTCTTTGGTTACCCCTTCTTCTGCTTGCCATTGGTCTTCTGCCTGATTTGGGACTTTTAAACCTAACCTCAAGGTTTGCCACAAAAGCTTTTGGATTGCTCTGAGCAAAAGGTCTCCCAAGTGAAGGAGGTCACTATTCCCATGGTGATCATTTCAGATGTCATTTCAGTTGGCCTGCTGCACAGAAGACGTGATACGTATTCATTCTGTCAGCAGATTGATTCAGCACCTACTATGTGATGTGTTCCATACTACGTGCAAGACATATATAGTTTCTGTATTCCTGGAGATTTCATTCTGATGGGATTGAGAGGACAGGACTAACTTGCTCATTTAAAAAAAAGGAAAAAAAAAAAAAAAAAAAAGTAATGCATCTTCTTCCAGACAGGAAGAATGGCAGGGAGTGGCCTGCTGACATTAATCTGTGCTTTGGTGTAATCCACGCCTCACCCCAGCCTTGTTGAACTTTGAACATTATTGAAAGATTTATAGGTTGTGCATTCCCTACCTCTTCTTGAGATACCAGATCTCTTCAGCTGTTTGTTAACTCAAATTGGGATCCTGGATGCATTATCAAAACAAGTATGCACGTTGAAGAGACAAAAAGAAACCCTGACAAGTATT